AGGATGATTGACACTAAAAGCTGTTCAGGTGATCATCGCAAAATGAATTGTAAACATCGTTTACGAGGCAACGAATATACAAAGTTTTAAAAAATGTATAGCTATTACAGCAAAATAAAGCTTCAAAAATTATGCTATTGTTTATAAAGTTTATTCTGAGAAGAAAAAATTTCAAAAAAAGAAAGTTATTTGAGTTTAAGAAATGTCTGATTCTAAAAGTTCCCTTTCTGACAATTTCAAAAACTATATTGTTACAAAACAAAAACAACAAAAAGTTCTTTTTGTCTATCAATTTGTACACTAAAGTGTGGCGTATAAAATGTTCCCGAAAGCTGCTTTATTAATAGATGCTTAATTCAGTGTATGACCTAATTTACCAAAAAAACAGTGTTGATTGACTGATAACAGGTTACCAGTGTTGATTAATACATTATCAGAGATCTACTGGCTTATAAATCACATCTTGGCTGTAGATCAGATAGTAAATAATAACTGACAATGACTAGTTTATAATCTTCTGTAAAATGAGCTAAATTATAGAAGTCAGTGCCGTAGCATTAAACGCCGATAATAAGTAATAATTTTAACTATAAACTTTACAACAGTAACAAAAACAACAACATTTGTTTTGAACTGTCGATCAGCAGCTGAAGTTAATAATGTGGTGGCGATATGAAAGATCTGATAATCTGTTGAGGATATGATGGTAGCTTCTTGTGAAAGAAATGGCAACCATAAATATCCAAAATTTACACATTTTGTTTATTTCACTTTATATTATTTGGCTTGACCAAGAAAAAAAAAAAAGTAAAAGCATTCTTCTCGACGGTTATTACTCAAAACATATTTCTATCAGAATTAATTCAATCATATAACACCTTAAGTGGTTGACTCAATGCTTATCCATGTTGATGGCGGAAAAGGTGAAAAAAAAGGAAATTCAAGTACTGTGATTGATTTCAAGTTGGTAAAAATTAAGCATTATTTTACAAATGTTCACAACTATCTGTTTGATCTAAATTAGCCCTAAATTATAACTAAAAAATTTCATTGTCATTCAACTATGCAGCTGTCATCATAGTGTTTCTTGCTGCTGGACCAAAACCAAAATCAGCTTAAGAACTGGTGTAGTCCGGAAAAAAGAATTGTCGAAAAAATATGTTATAAGTGTTTGACAAAACAAAAAAGTATTATTATACAAAGTCATAGTACACTAACAAAAAATATGGTTACCCAATTTACGCTTCACCAATCATTTATTATAGTGAACAATTATGTATCGATGCTATTAATATAACACCACTGGCTAATACTGTTCAATCGAATAATACAAAGTAAGGATTAGAGTAATAACTTATTCAAAAACTAACACATCCTTCAATTACTTTTCAACAAGCAAGACAAATAAGCTGTGAAAATTGTTCAGTATGCTGTACATTTTAAAACTCATTTTTTCTATCCCTGACATCGTAATGCAAAAATTAAAAAACACTCATTTTTATTAAGAAAGTCAGCATAACTATACTTTGTCCTAACAATTTGCTGATTGTACCAAATATTACCGGTCAGAAATCAACCACTTGCTCTGAGAACGATCACTTAACTCCAAAGGATTATTTACTGGCGAGTAGAATGAAGTGCTGAGCAGTACTAATCAAATTTTGCCATTTTTGACTTTATAAAACATTAGTAAATTAATTTTACACCTACATTTTGGATCAATTACTTTTGTTTCTCACGAATGTTATACGAGTGACGATGTTGGTTACCTTCATAACACTAATTTTTTGAGAGGCAACTACTAGATTCAAGCAAAAAAACTCTAATTAAATCATTCAAAAAAAGATTTTTGCTCTTACTTCACTTTATCCGAAAGAAAAAAAAATTTGAATTTACTGAACTTCTTTTACTTTTACCAGAATTTACTAGACTTTAATAGACAAAATTTGAATTTACTAGACTTTTTCCTGTTTTCATTCGTTCCAGCACCTCCTTCAATCCAGAATTTCTTTCTAAAGCACTTATCAAAGACAACTAAACGCTGTTATTTTTCTTCTCTGTTTTGTTCTTTTCAAGTTTTCCCCGTGCCAAGAAGCACTCATAGCTGTGACAAAGAAACCATATTATTTCGCTGACATATCGTAACAATGTTACTGACACTCTTTTTCTCAGTCAAAGTAATGAACTGGTGTAATAACCTGGAACAATTAATCAGAACCATTTATCGCATGTTTTTGTTACTACGTGAACAAACAGTGTTCAATTCTACACTGCTTGATATTTGTAACCAACGGGAAACAATGAAATGCAATCAACATTCATTACCAACCAAAGCATAGTAATGTAACAAAGACAATTCAAGAATTTTTTAGAAGAGTAAGATTATCGGTGATCATTGAGTAACAGTTACGTTTAAATCTATATCATAAAAAAGCGGATTTGCTTTAGGAAAAAAGACAGGTCATCCCAGTCAATAAAATAACATTAAAAAATCGGTTACTTTTGGCCTTTTGTATGCCTTGATAAAATTCAATAATTTCGGATAAATCAATCATACTATGTCCCACCACTTCTTCGTTACTATACAGTAGGGTTGTTTTCCGTACATGTCTCTTTGAAAACAAATATTCTACTTTTTCCTAAGTACTTCTGCAAAGAAAAAATTTTTTAACGTAGAAGCCTCACCTGTTCACCTTCCCTCAAAAAAGTCATTGTAGAGAGTCTTGCAAATCATTCTAGTTTAGAGTTTAATGAAACATTGTCGACTCACATTATCGACGACAATGGCATCTGTATTTCTAGTGTAAACTTAGGATTTTTACTACTTTTTGTGTTAGATACTTTTTAAATCCATAAGTGTAAAATTAAACATAAATAAAAAAATAAATAGATAAATATAAGAATAATTGAATAAATAACCCTATGCACGCATATATGTATACTTAAATAGATGCGCAACAACAACCACAACTTCAATACTGCTGGCGGAATTGAATGAGACTGAAAACATACATGGTTAAAACATTTGTTATTTGATGAAATGAATTGAAAAGTTGACAGCATTTTAGCTAAAAATTTGACCTACAGAACTGGGAGCTTCTTGTAGGAGTTCTCCTCACCGCAAGAGACTTGTAAGTCAAAAAAACGACCTTCAGAAAAACTTTAATTACACACGAAATTCAACAAATCGAATACATTTAGTTCCACTTCAAAGAAACACTAGGAGGTTAAGATTTTACCTCGACTTTTTCGTTTCCAAACTTTTTTGACATTTTTAAATGTATTTTTTCACCGTATTACAGTGATCGGTCGAGAGCTAGATACGAATCTGCCTGAGCAATTTGTAATTGCTAGATTAAGATACAGAAGTCTGTTTCTCGGCTACTGCGAAACATCTCAATCGACCGAAATCTAAGTGACTGCTTGCTTACAGGACAATGAAATGAACTGGACAAGGAGGTAATGTTTTAAGAGAACATTTGTTCTTCTAATCCGAGACAGAAAAACAGGAATAATTCAAGATACAACAATGTTTTAAGAAAGATAAGTCAGAGTATCATAAAGCATCTTGAAACGGTTGGCAGGCTCGATAAAAAGTAGGTTGGAGAAGGCAGTCAAGTGAAAAGAGTACCAAACTAAGTATTAATTCTCTTTTACTTTGTTATATTTTCACTACTTTCATTTTGATAATCTATGGCATAAATATTCGAATTTTGCAAAAGTCATCAAAATCTACTTTATGTTGTTCTGGTATTTGATGTCTTCATTTGGTAATTTTATAGGTAAAAGTAGTATTTATTTTTGAAATGCGGTCCTAAACTTGAAAGAAAGAGTAAAAAAGAAAAAACTAAAAAAATGTTCTCTACAAGAAATCAGATGCATAAAATTTTTCCTCATCGATGGTTTAATCATGATTTCTACTTTGTAAACAAACAAATAAATACTACTTTTACACATATATACATGTATGTTTTTTCACTTGTTCATTTATATATTATATATATGAATAAGTAAAAAAAAGTGCATGCGGTTGTTGAAAATAGCCGAACAAGGAAATGGATCAGTATTCGTTTAGGAAACTTTCTGCTACTAAGGCTTTTAGCCTTCACACCTCATTAGAGGTACATTGAGCGGTGACCAATACTTGCCCGTTATAAAAAACCTTCTAACCCCATACTCTGCAATTAATTTTTGCCCGTCACACAATCGAAATATGTGATACTCCAACAAGATAGCGAACCAATGCATTTATGCAGAGAAGCGAAGAATAAATAAAAAAACTTCTCCAACAATTGCGTCAAAACCGTGACCCAATGTCAACTGAAAAGATACTGCGAAAAGAAGGAAGAATGATAAAGACAGTTCCGACAGACTTAGAAGACTCTTCAAATTTACCCGAGGATCTACATGTCACGCTTGCAGACTAGACGCACCAAAGCCATGCTGCCATTGATGCCAAAGAAAACATTACCAACAGTTGAGTTGCGGTTAAGTTATTCAAAAAATGGAAAATTGTTAAAGGAAAGTTATAGAGATGAATTGTAAATGTATATTGGTCCTTATCAGCATTAAACATCACTGTGCTTGATAATATATAGTTTTCTTTTTATCAACGAAAGGTTGGTACATGTAAAAGGAATTTACC